CTGTCGTATTAAAGAAGGAAACACGGTTTTAAAAAATTTTTTTCGCGTTACTCTTCGATTTACAGTTTTCTGTCGTATTAAAGAAGGAAACACGGGTTTAAAAAATTTTTTTCGCGTTACTCTTCATTTTACAGTTTTCTGTCGTATTAAAGAAGGAAACACGGTTTTAAAAAATTTTTTTCGCGTTACTCTTCGATTTACAGTTTTCTGTCGTACTAAAGAAAGAAACACGATTTTAGAAATTTTTTTTCGCGTTACTCTTCGATTTACAGTTTTCTGTCGTACTAAAGAAAGAAACACGATTTTAGAAATTTTTTTTCGCGTTACTCTTCGATTTACAGTTTTCTGTCGTACTAAAGAAAGAAACACGATTTTAGAAAATTGTCGTACTAAAGAAGGAAACACGGTTTTAAAAAAATATTTTTATCGCGATCGACTAATCACGATAATTTACCGTGGGGGTGTGTAATATAAGTTATTAAGATGACCTTAAACTTTTAATCAGAAAGTATTAAAAAAGATTTGAAAATCTTTTTTAATACTGCACTAATATATTTTATGAAAACTATAAATCTCTTAATTTATATATAGTTTCCGTTGAACAATTAAGGTTCTTTCGAAATTAATAGTAACAATTCATATATAACACGAATTCTAGTAACTATTATAATGATCGTTTCTTTTAAATTAAGGTTGATTCGCTAACATTCTGGTGTCGGTCCTGCGCAATTTAGCATTTAATATTATCAACCCGATAAGATATTCTATATTAATAATGTAGATACTGCAGTGTAACCATGTCAAGAGTCAACCAGTCCCCAGTTAGTTTAATGCAAGTTTGCCTATAAATTTAGTCGCAATTGGAAAATTTTTTTAAGCCTCCCCCAAAGATCAGATTTAAATATTACATAACAGAATTCCATGGAATTTATTCGTTTAGATGAAGTTTCACTCGTTGCAGCCCTATTGGGTGGATTTATCGTCCTTTTTGGATTTGTATCCTACTTCGTTAAAGAAAAATTGTACCTGTCAGAATCACGTAAGCATAAATTAGCAAAGTGACTGCATGTTTTTCTTCGAAGTTATTTTCCATTCGCTAATATGAGTCGATAGTTATTTGCATGATTTGTGGTATCGCCTTTGGACCGTTTGTCTCAAACATAATCACACCGGACAAATGGGGCGATATCGACGAAATTACAAAACAATTTGCCCGGATTGTTATTGCAATTCAGGTACAACTTTGGGTTAAAAAAAAATTTGCGGCCGCAGACTTCGATTTAATCTATTCGTCATATTTAACAGGTTATGGCTGCGGGAATTCAATTGCCGAAGTAACCATCCTTAGAACTCGCTCCTCTCTGTGATTTCCTAATTTGGTAACATCTTTTTTTTTTTTTTGCACCGTGTACCTTTATCTTCCAGAGCTTATCTATGGAAGGAATCGAAATCATTGTTTTTCCTCCTCGTCCCTGTCATGTCTTGGATGTGGGTCACAAGTGCCCTCGCCATTTGGTGGATGATACCTAAACTTTCGTTCGTGAGTAGTTTTTCTTCTGAAACATCTTCAGTTCTCTTGTTAGCGTGTACTCTATTAACACTATAATGAATTTCAGTTGGAGGCTTTAGTAGGAACATTTTTAACGTTGAATTAGTTCTCTTAAACTATCATCATGCTAAATACGTGCATGTATATATACATCCATGTTTAGTGCATTGCCTCGTGCGTCGCACCTACCGATCCAGTTAAGTGTCGATCTTTATTAGCTGGACTAAATTCTCGAAATTAAATTTTGCAAGTTTTAATTTTTTTTTTTTTTAAAAAAAAAGGTATTGGCGAACTCAATTATGAAAGGAAAATTCGCTGAGAAATATGTACCCACTCATCTCCGTGATATTTTATCTGCGGAAAGGTAGACAATGTTTTTATTAGCTCCAAGGCGATGTTTCATTGCATCTGTATCTTTTTTAATTCGAATTATTTTATCTTTCAAAATTTCAATTTACACAGCGGAGCAAATGATTGTAATATGCAATTCTTTTCTCCCTGTCTTTATTTCTGAATTCAAAAACTAAACTATATGAAACATTAGGTTTGGGATTTCCTTTTCTTTATCTTGCGATGTATCTTATAAAGACATCGACCGGCCCTGCTCTCGGGGAATGGGCATATTACATCATGGGATATCAAGTCATTCTATCAGCTATATTTGGCGCTATAATTGGGTACATTGCGCGCAAGTCATTACGTTGGGCCGCCGAAAAGTTTGTGAAATTTATGAATCTCAACTTCTTGATTAGCAGTCTTTGAGACTCAGCAAAATTTTTTTCAATTAGAAATATGATTGATAAAGAAATGTTTTTAGCTTTCTCGATCGTGTTGGCTGTGAGTGCATGTGTTAATATTACTTGTATAAAATTTATTTACTGACACATTTTTAACGTCAAGTAGCTATTCATTATGGGTGTCGTGTCAATCCTCGGAAGCGATGAACTACTAGCGTGTTTCATTGCCGGGAATTCTTTTACTTGGGAGTAAGGAAAATTGATTCGGTCATCTTGATTCGAAATTTTTCTAATGATCTTGAATTTATCGTTTAGCGATTGGTTTCGTCAAGAAACTGTCGAAGCACATTTTCAACCAATCCTTGATATGCTGTTGAATTTGGCAGTATTTGCTTATATAGGAGCAATAATACCTTTCTCATCCTTCACTAATGACTCTCTGGGATTATCGTATTGGCGTTTGGCTGTGATGGCCATTCTCATAATTCTGTTTCGGCGACTCCCTATCATAATGGCGTTGATGAGAAAAATACCCGCGCTAAAAACTTATCGCGAAGGTCCTATTACTTTTCATCTATTCGCATTCTTTTTTTTTTTATCTTTCCATTCGTTTTTCTTAAGAAAAAAAACGTGAAATAATTATAGGACTCTTTGCTGGATGGTTTGGCCCGATCGGCGTTGGCGCTATCTTTTACGGTGAACTCACAAAAGAGGCACTGGAAAAATATGATGCACATTCTGTGGCACAAGAAATCGTAAAACCAGGTAATTTGACATTACCATCGCAATTTCAATAAGAAAAAAGGCACTAATCAAGATTTCTTTTAAGTTGTATTTTTCCTGGTCCTTTCTTCGATTGTCGTCCACGGAATATCCATACCTTTGGTAGAAACTTCATTCTGTGATTTCTGTGATTTTTAAAAGAACTTTTCTGAAAAAAAATTTCAAAAAATCCATCCTTCTAGATGAAGATTGGGAAACGCGTAAATACAATGTCGCGGACAACTTCTCTCAATTTTCCCACTCAGCCAACCAGCCTAAATACAATCAAGCTAGATGGCATAATTTTCCGGAAAACAAATACCTCATCTGCTGAAAAGGTTGACGAGCTTAAAGACATCGCCGAATCTAATAATTCGTCTTCATCAACTCCCACAGTGCGCGTGCCACCTACAGAACAAATATTTGTCAATACTGATAATTTACCTCAATATCAAAATACTAACGCAAACGGCACCAATGATAATGTCATCATTAAAGTTAGTCAAGAGTCAGCTAAATTTTCTCATGAACACGATGATATCATTGAGGAACGAAACATTGAAGATGAAAAAACTCGTGTGATTACTAATCCCCCCTGAACGCTGAAACGTACGTTATATTAAAAAATTGATGTGATCTGATTTCAGAATCTTATTGGTCTACGCACATTGAGATTTTTTTTTTTTTTACCGTAAACAATAGTTTAGCAAATAATTTTCTCTATTCTTGGTCGTTGGTGTCAAACGAAATGAGCTTTTTTGAACTTTTTCGTAAATCACGTTTAGCATCTTTTGATCCATCTTTACCACAAGTTTATACTACTTACGGGAAATTTAAAAACCGTGGTGAATGGGG